TTCTGGACATTTATGGTTTGATTTCTTTGTATGTATGGATCACTTGGGTTGTTACCGACATCTGATGAAAATTTCATGTCATTAGCACCTCTAGTAATATATTTACTGAGAAAAATGCTGACGTGTTCAATACTTATTTTACCCGCTGTATAGTAGTGTAGGCAGAATATTGGCTACATGTAAGCTTGTTTAAATTTCTGATTTTACAATGGCAATTGTTTTTTGAGTCATGTAAATCATCAGTTGAGTCAGCGGTAGAAATACCCAAATTTGTAACCCAAAATCAGTGCAAGTTTTTCATATTTATTTCTGTGAACAATTGAGTAAACTACCAAATTTGATCCATGTCATGACCTAAAATAAATCAAATACCTACTGTGACCAAATCTGGTTCACTCAGGCTTAATGGCACCAATATAGGAATATGCTGATTGCATTTGCAATGTTTCTTTTACCGTACGACAGAAAAACCGACATGGTGTCGACCTTCCCTTTAACTCCCAAGAGCTGCCTTTTCACAACCTTAGAGAAAAGAACAGAGCATCTTTGTAAGAAGTCATTTCAGCAACAAGGAGGGGGATACAAGCAGCTATCAGAGAGCTGATGCTGATCAAATCCTTTCATCATTCCTATCTTACTTCCACCTCTCTTTCATCTACCCCACAACTGCTCTCCTATTCTGACAATAAGCCACTTTTCCAATGGTCTGACTCAGCTAAACTAAAAAAAAAAAAAGCCCCTGAGACAAGAAAGGAAGGAAGACAAAAAACAAGTGCTGGGCAGCTTTAGGTTTGTCATTGTTTAGGACACCTTAGTGACTTGAAACACCAATTGTGTGATAACTGGATTCATATCTCTATACTCAGAAGTATTAYTGGACGTAAAGTTATAGGTAAGACTGCAATGGTTTGGACATGTCCAGAAGGGGGACAGTGGGTATTTTGGTAGAAGGGTGTAAGAGATGCAGCTGTCAGGAAAAAGACAAAGAGGAGATGAATGGATGCATTTAGAGAGGACATGGAGATAGAGTAAGAACAGAGGATGCTGAGGACAGACTGAGGAGGACGACATGCTATGGCTTCCCCTGAAAAGGAAAAGGCTGAAAGAAGAAGAAGAAGACTGAGCATCCACAAAGCAGAAAGGTGTGGGCCAGATCCAGTGTCATGCTGGCACTACTGGCTGACTTTTGGCWTGCCAAGTGGCTTGTCAAACAAATGTGGACCAGGTCTGGCAAGGATGGCACTGTTTTTAAGATGGCAWACCACAACTGGCCCAATTGTGTTTTGGTTAATGGGGTCCAAATCTGTCAATRCCCCAGCTAGCCCARTTGTGGTTTGGTTTACATGGTCCAGATCTGTWKATGCCACAGCTGGCCCAGTTGTGGTTTGGTTTACCTGGTCCAAATCYRTCAATGCCCCAGCTAGCCCARTTGTGGTTTGGTTTACCTGGTCCATATATTTTAATGCCAAAACCTCCCCGGTTGTGGTTTGGTTGATGTGGCCCAAATCCATCAATGCCTCAAGAACTGTCCCATTTGCGGTTTAGTTTTTATGTGGTGCTGGCCCACCGCTGGCAAACTACATCTAGGGCCCCAAAGGGACTTCATTTATGTGGTATATGGGCAGAGTGGTTGGCCCAATGTGTGKGCCAGAACTGGGTGCTATGGAGTACCACTGAAATTTATAGCTTGCCCATAACTTAGTACCCATAGAAAATGATGCATTTTCAGTGACTGTCCTTGTTTGGCATTTTTAGGACCCTCTGAAAGAAATTTTGTTTTTGATGTATTTGAAAATATTTCTAGGTATACAACCTAYAAGCCTATATACCTGCAAAATGTGGTAAAATCCATGTAATTTACGTACAAGCCATACAACTTGACATGTATGTGTTCACCAGCCGATCAGACAATTAAAAAAAAATAAACTGTTCTAATTGTCTAATTTAAAATAATCCATTTTGCTGAATATTTTTCACTGACGTTTCAGTGCAATGTCTTTGACCAAGTTTAACAATGAAGAAAACAGATTTCGATCCTTCGTCCACGTGTTTTTCCCTGCCCTGCTGTGTAACAAACAGAACTCACAATATGAGCGAATGTGATTAGAGTCAGTTGCCTTCAATCTGTGAAAGTTGGCAGCTGTGCCACAGCTTTGCTGCAGGTCGCTGATTGCTAACCTGGCAAGGTGGGTTATTACTGACAATTTATTGTCACCATCTTCATTTCAAGTCTCTGTAACATTACACTCTGAGGAAATTACAACCTGCTCCACTTGAGAGAGCGCCGAGAGCAGTTAAGCGACCCATGACACAGCAATATCTGACCTCAGTATATCTGACAGCTGAAATTAGGTCCTTAAAGCTAATATTCCACACTGTGTAATGCTCTTGGTTTCATTATGTTGCAGTCAAGGTCCTCTGAATCCACCGTGAGTCACGCCAGGTGAAGTAAAACACTGCAGAGTAAGAATAATGCATGGTCCAGCTAATTAATTACCTCTTGTTCTATAAAAGAAAGTAT